GGAGTCCAGGTGAATTGTCAATGTGTGGAGAGATCTAGGTTGCAAAAGCCAGCATGAGAATGACAGGAGCTGTGGGGAGATGGCACCCCAGGAGAGGACAAAGGCCACTTGGCACTGGTTGCTGGACCGCGCATGGGGTCCCCTGCCCGGTGCCCAGATGGTCGAGGGGATGAGTAGGGTTAAGCAACTGAGCCTGACACTGGGAGGTAGGCATGTTAGGAACGTGAAACATGTTCACTGAGACAGTATTTGCGTTATAAATAGATTGAGGAAAATGGACCTTCCTGAATAAATCACATTTATTTAATCATATGACCATCCCACACAGATGAGAATGCGCTGCCATCACGAACGCTTCTAGGTCTATGGTTTGGGGTTGGGGTGGCTCCCTTAAGGGAGGCTGATGGTGGTTGAGTTTCCTCCCCGGTCCCCGGCCATGTCTCTGCAACAAGGATTCGTAGTTGTGCTAATTAATCCCGAGTCAGGCTTAGAAGCTGCTCGTGTTCAGACCCACCACGCTGTGGGTTTTGAGGAAATTATAATATTTGTCACAGACATATTTTCTGCAAGCCCCTTTTTTCTTTGCCCTTTTCAAGTCTTGTGTTCCTTTGTTTTCATCTGGGGAATCTGAGTTTTATTTAAAATTCCAGATGGTTGACTGTCCTCAATTGAGTGTTTATTCTCTTTTTTTTTTTCCTTTTTTTTGGATTTGGCTGTTCTCACATCATTGCCATATTTTGCTTTTTTATGGAGTTTTAAAAATCAGTGGTCTATTATATATAAATAGTGTAAGAACGAGCAGCTGTTGTACCTAATTGTGGAGTGTGAATAATAAACATTTTCACAGTCTAAGGGCGATCTCTTGCAGCACAGTAAAACCTTCTTGGAAGCTTTGTCGTTATAGTTTTTCTTAAAGTTAGTGCTTGCTTAATTTAGGTTTCCTCTGATTCTTATCTCAGCGGCCCCTGCTTACTGGGAGAATCCTAAAAAATCTGGAAGGATGCTTTTATTGTATACATAGACTCTACCCGTATATTTTTAAGGTCCAGCCAAAAAGTTGAAATGAAAGTAAGTTTCGCTGTCTGCTGAGATACCATCAGGCATTTTCAAAAGTCTGTTATTACTGCCGAAGAGAAATGAAAGCACCCTGCTTCCAGGAGAAAGTCATCCGCATTTCTCTGGGTCCCCAGAGATGGCATTTCCCATCTCTGCTGATAGGAGAAAAGTGCCGTGATGACTTCACTTTGTGGCTCCAAAAGACTTATTATCTTTTTCTAGAGAACAATTCCTCTTTATTTAGAGCTTGGAGGCACACTTTTAAGAGACACACTTGCTCACTGTCCGGGGAAGCAACGCTTTGCCATTGTTTGTTAATAAACAACACGCACATCTGGCAAGCTGGTCTGTTTGTTTATCTTTGTAACTGTTAGCTAGCTTTTCCGACTGAAGGAGAGAGAGAGAGAGAGGTGGACCCAGATGACCGCTGTCTAGGTCGTGGTATGCTCAGGACCGTCAGGAGGCCTTCGGTACCACTCTCTGATTTCCTAAGGGCTCAGGCACCACCACGTACTGGGAGAGATACGTTAGAAGGAAAATCATGGACACCTTGATTTTTCCTTATGTCACGGGAGACATTAGGATCACAAGTGTAGTTCTCAGATGGTTGTTTTCGTTGGACAGGACTGCGGCCAAGGAGTCCTTCGTGGGAGAAAGCTCCTCTGTCAGGTCAAGGTGCACAGCCGTGCTTGAAAAATAAGTTGATATTTATTTTTGAGTATTAAATGAAGGAGCAGGGAGAGAGTTTACTGTGTGGGTTTTCAATCAGAATCAGCCTTCGTGCTCCCAGAATATGACTCTGTGTGTGCGTGTGTGCGTGTGTGTGTGTGTGTGTGTGTGTGTGTGTGTGTGTGTGTGGCATGGGGGTGGGGGAGTATCTATTGTCTTCAGAGAAGATTCCTTTGATGATAAACCGACTCAGCCTTTCCTGGCAGCGCCAGTCACTTTCTGCGTCTTCTTGTGTGTTTCCTCTCTCAGCCCAGGACTGGCCTCGAGTTTTGTGAAAACACCCATTTCAAGACCATAAACCTAGAGCACAAGTCTGAGTTTGATGCTAAGGGTTTTTTTTATGTCTTTATGTCTGTCTTTAAATCTCCAAGTAAAACTGGGCGGGGGGATAGGGAGATCTTTCCAGCAAATCACAGAACACAGTAATCCTGCTTGTGAAATGGGGGATCGTCCTCTTGACAATTCAGGAATGTAGCTTCTGACCGGGCAGGGCTCCAGGAGCTGAGAGGGCACGGCTAAGCCCGTTCCTCTGCCTTCCTGTCTGCCTCTCTCTTCCCCTGACTCCCTGCTCCCCAGGACCTCCCTCCCTCCTGCCCTCCATTCAGTGTTAAAGTGATGTATGTTTGGCTTTCAGAAAACCCACTTGCATTTTGTACTTCCTCTGAGGTTCAGGATTTTCCCAGCTCTGCCCTCAGCCCTCCTTACTTCCACTGCCTTGATCCCCGCCTTGCTTGTTTATTTCTAGCTTGAGACTCAATCTCCGTTCAGTTTCATCCCTACCTCTGTTATGAAACTTGAGGAATGAAGCCCCCAGGGGGCTCCTCTTGGATTCATAGAGACAAAAAAAAATATATATATATATATATATATATATATACACATATACATATATATATATATATGTATATGTGTATATATATATTGCTGGATGGGTAAAACTTGCCACAAAAAGGAACTTACAACAGTGAAACGTGGCCTCAAAGGAGAGAGAGACAAGAAGAACGCTGTTGTTAAAAAACCAAAATCTGATTTCGTCTCTTCCTTCCTGTTCCCGCCCCGGTCCCCGGCCCTCCTTTGTGGCTCAGCCGGGCCCTAAGCTCTGACTAGGGGAGGATGGAAAGGTACAAGGCTACGCGGGGGGGACCTGTTCCGCCTGTCATGCTTTCTGCTTTCTTTCTAGCCATGGACCCCCCCGCACCCCACCCCCCGAGGTTTATACCTTGTCCATTGGAACACAGACGGAACATTGACGCCCAGTCACTGAAGGAAGGTTGTCTAGTAAAAGGAGCATTTACCCTTCTGGGGAGAGGGTTCAAGAGAAGCAATAGTGCTCGTGCAGGACCCCGGGGCTAGTCAGGGTGGGGAGCTGCTGTGGCCCCTCGATCTGACGGGGGCAGGGGAAAATTGCAGGCATTTCCTAGGAGTGCCTGACCCGAGCTGTGGCCTTAGGTTGAGGACCTAGCCAACCTGGAGCATCATAGCGAGAGGAAGCTGCAGATAGAAATTCCTGCTCTCTGCTATGTGGGAACCTCTGTGGCAAATCGAACAGAGCCCGAGGGCAAGGGAGCCTGCGTGTGGTCCACGCAGGTCAGCCTCTAGGGACACAGGACAGGGTGGAGAACGGATCTGGGAAATTCCCACCACATTGACAAAGTTGGTGACGTCACAGTTGAAGGCTGGGACAGGATTTAGGAAACACTGGTGATTTTAGGGCCCCGGATAAAAAGGACACTGTTTTCTTCATGCTTCCATGTGTTTCCTGCTGGTCTTTCCTTGGGGTCCCGTCTCCTTTGGTGATCTCGTCCAGGCTGTAGTTCGACATTGAGCTCCCGTTTGATGCCCGTGACGCTGATCGTTACAGCATTGGCCGCTCTCTGGGTTCTCCTGCAGCCATCCAGCAACCTGGGAGGCTCTCCACTTGGGGGTCTCCTAGAAGGTCAAGCTCACATGTCGAAAGCTGTGTCTGATTCCCCTCAGACCTGCTCCCCACCTGCACGGCTACGCTAGTGGTCAGGGTTGGAGAAAGGCTCCTACCTAGAAACTTCCTTCATAACAGGGCACTTCTATACTTGGAATGACCCATGGCTCCCAGCTCATTCAGGCCACAAGTCTATAAATTGCTACGCAGTCTGGTCCTTTCTTCTCTGATCCCCTCTCCTGATATTTTCGAGGCTCACCCTGGTCTAGCCCCCTAGGATCCTTACTAGTCAACACAATGCACTTACCTGCTTGAGGGCCTTTGCACATAGCAGGGGGGAATGGATTTACTTTTAAATCTAAAAAGGCCTAAGTCATGGAAACATCCAGCTACACAAAAGTTTTACACAAATGTTTGCAACAAGCATCATTCACGACAGCCCCAAACGGGGAAAACCCCAGTGTTCATCGATTGTGAAAGGATAAACAATGTTTCTATATGTCCAGACAATGGAATGTCACTATGTCACTTGGCAGTAAAGAGAGATAAAGTGCAGATACACGTGACAACAACACAGATGAACCTTAAAGACATCCTGCTAAGTGGACATTACGTCCTAATGGAGACATCCCGTCAGTCACAGAAGGACCTCATATTGTATAAGTCCATTCACAGGAAATAACCCAGAACAGGCAAATTTATAAAGACGGAAAGTGGAGTAGTGGTTGCCTAGGGCTGGTTGGGGGATGACGGCTCAGAGGTACGGGCTCTCTTTTTGGAGGATAAAAAAGTGTTCTCAAATTGATTGTGATCATGGTTGCGTAACTCTGTGATTACAGCAAAGAGCGATGAATTGTACAACTTAAATGGACGGATCGTGAGGTACATGAGTTCCTTCTCAAAGCAATTAAAAATGAAGATGTCTTAACAAACATTTCTGTCTTTTTCCAAGGGCTGTATGTAGGTCTTAGAATTCAGTATTATCATATCTGAAGTTTTAAAGGGAACTCTGTGACTATTTGCGTTTTCACTTCCTCTTTATTTTTTAACCCTTTCCTTTCTTTGGCGTGCATGTGCTAGATAGTCAGTATTTCGGTATGATTGGGGAGGAGGAGGTGCCTGGCTGGCTCGGCCGGTAGAGCACATGATTCTTGATCTCAGGGGCCTGAGTTCAAGCCCCACGTTGGGCGTGGAGACCACTTTTAAAAAATGAAATACGATTTTAGGCAGATGGATCTTTTTCCCACGTATGAGTATGACAAAGGGGTGCTAATCCCCACGTGTTTTCTGCTTCTAGTACTTTCACGACGGGCGGAAGGCACAACAGCACATAGAGATCTGCTGGAAACAACTCGAATCAGTAAGTGCACAGCAGACGGCTGGAGAAATGCCTGTAGACTTTCTGATTTGAATGTGAGCTTGCATCGATCCGTAAGTGCAGAACAAAAACACCAGAGGGATGCCTTTGGGGATCTTCTCCATTCTGAATCGCCTTTATCTCTAGACACCATGATTGAGACTAAAGTGTGGAGCCCAACGAGCTCAAGCAAAGTGTTTCTAAAAACTCCTATGGAAAGCACAAAGGTTAGAGAGCTGGGGCTGAAATAAATGCAGATTTTAGAATAGCTCTTTGACTTTAGGATGTATAACCAACCAGCTTAGAGGTGAAAGCTCTTTGGGTGATTGAGACAAAGTGATATGTTCTCATAGGAATCTTGTAGTTTCATTCCCAACTGCTCTCCTGTCACCACTTGCCTCTGCTTTCAGAGTAAAAGACGCTTTGAACGTGACTGCAAAGAGGCAGACAGGGCACAGCAGTACTTCGAGAAGATGGACGCTGACATCAATGTCACCAAAGCAGATGTGGAAAAGGTAAGGTGATAGTGAGCTCTGGCCTTTCACTTCCTCTGATGTCTGTCGTCGCTCCTCCCAGGCCGCCAGTCCCCAGGCTCTCCTTTCTGATGTCCCCACTACAGGCCACTCAGCCTGGGATCAGCTGGTAGCATTTTGTGTCACCAGTTGTGGGGACCAGAAGCTGACTTTTGGGGAGTCTCCAATGTTGTGATTGGAGCAGGTTGTGGACTTGTGTCGTCCCCAGGATGAAGACAGGAGATTTAGGAGTGGCTCATGGGGGATGGGGGTGCGAGGGGGGCAGCGTGGTTTCCGGAGGCTGTGGCTTTCTCTTAATGGCTTTTCAAAGAAAAAGTCAGGCCCTTTAAAAGCCAGAGCAGACCGGTTCTGCGCCATCTGGAAGAGCTCTGGTGCTAATGCTTCCGTTGGGGAGATAAAGGGACTTACAGGCCGGCCTGATTTTCTAGGTGATTCATTCAAGTTCTTAGCGGGTTGTATCCCAGGCGTCCCCTCAAGGGCTCTTCTCTAAGTGGACTCGCGTCGCAGTTCGGAATGTGGTGAAGTTCATACTGTACCTGCTTGTGGTTCCGTATCTGTTTTTCCCTAGAAGCTGAGTTTTCTTTTTCTAAAAGTCATCCATACCGTGTAAACAGCATTAGACCGTTAAATGACTGTATTCATCCCATGGCTGCCTGGGGCTGTCTGGGCGTCTGCAGCGTCATGTTTTACGTAGAAAGAAGCACAGCGTTTTCATAGATTTCTTTCACTCTTGCCAGATTCGTGGGAGATGAGTTTAGTTGGAAAATAGTGTGGATTATTTAGTTATTTGTCCAAGTCTGCCAGATTCCTTGCTTAAAACCTCGGTACATGTTAGCATGGCTTCCTCGATAATGACCTAATATAGTACACACCGACGTCTCTGAGCAGGAGTGGGGATACTTTCCTGAGAGATATATTAATGTGCTGGTAAAGTGACCATAAATCACCATCCATTTGTCGTAAATTCCTAAGAAAGAGCCAACTCCCCGAAGGATCGAAAATGTGACTCAGATAAAATAGACTGATCCAGACTTTATCAAAAAAATCATTTGGGGAAAAAAAAATCATTTGGGGCTAAATGGAGTAAAGGTATGCATTCTTTATAAAATATTTTACTACCTAAATATAAAATCAGAATGATTTTTATTCAAGTTTTTTTTAAAGATTACTTTTATGACTTTTTTTTTTCTTTTTTTAAAGATTTTATTTATTTGACAGAACGAGAGAGTGAAGGGAGCACAAGCAGTGGGAGTGGCAGAGGGAGAGGGAGAAGCAGGCTTCCCTCTGAGCAGAGTCTGATACGGAGCTAAGACCCAGGACCCTGGGATCATGACCTGAGCCAAAGGCAGACACTTAACCTACTGAGCCACCCAGGCACCCCTACTTTTATGACTTTGCCTTAATATAAAAGCTGCCCATGCTGATTGCAGAAATACCTGAAACTGCAAACAGCTGAAGGGGAAAAAAAGAATAAAACATGCAACTATTGTTAATAAAAGGTAGTTTACCTTTCAAAATAATGTATATTATGTAAGTACAGTGTAAAGAATAGGAACCAAAAGAATACTGTAATCTACAAGCTATAGCTTAAGAAGAAAGATCTTACTCATGCCTTGGAAGTCTGTCCCTGACTTCCTGCTCCTGGTCCTCTCCCTACAGGGGTGTTTTTTCCTTAATTTGGTGTTAATCGCCTCCTTGCTTTATGTCCCAGCTTTACCACAGGTGTATGTATTTCCAAGGAGTATATTTATAATTTTGTCTCTTTTCCACCATTATATAACCAAAACCATACTTTCATTTATATTCTTCGGACTTGATTTTTTTTCATCCACTATTATGTTTTTTACTTAATTCACATGGAGTATAGAAAACGTGACTTTGGGGCACCTGGGTGGCTCAGTGGGTTAAAGCCTCTGCCTTTGGCTCCTGTCATGATCCCAGGGTCCTGGGATCAAGCCCCACATGGCGCTCTCTGCTCAGCGGGGAGCCTGCTTCCCCCCGCCCCCCCGCCCCCCGCAGCCTCTCTGTCTACTTGTGATCTCTGTCTGTCAAATAAATAAATAAAATCTTAAAAAAAAAAAAAAAAGAACACGTGACTTTTATGAATTCAGGTTAGAGGCAGATGCCTTGCTAAACTCTCTTTTTTATTTCCATATTGGTTTTTGTTTGTTTTTTCTTTTTTAGAGATAGTCTTATTCCCAGCAAATTTCTTTTTCAATCCTTATGGCTTTTTTTTTTCTTATCTTGCTCTGTTGGTGGTGACCATCATTATGCGGACAGAAGCAGCCAGTTGTGGCCCTTCTTATCTCGATTCCGATAATGAAGACAGTACTTTAAATGTTTCTCCATTAATTAGTGCATGATTTTAATAAACCCTTTATCAAGCTCAGGGATTCCCTTCTTTTCCTTTGTTGTCAGGAGGTTTTTTCCAACTTGACTTGATATTCAATACCAGCCAATACTTTTTCTGCTTCCTTTAATCCGTTAATGTGATAGATTACCTGAATCAGTTTTCTTATATTGAACCAAATTAGCATTCCTGTGACAAATCCAGCTAGGGGGTGATGGGGTTTTTAAAATACTTGATCTGAATCTGTTTTGTTACTATGTTACTGAAGAGGCTTAAATCTGTGCCCACTGAAATTGATCTGTAATGTTTCTCCTCCCTCCTAGTTGGCTTTACTTAGTAGTTTCAGAGTGTTGCTTTTTTTCCTCTTCTCTGAAATAATACATGTGAATTGAAATTAATTGGTTATTGACTGTTTTGTAATACTTCACTGTGGGAAAGTCTCTAACTGCTGAGTGATTCCTTCATTGCTGTCCGCTTCCTCTTTGGTCGATACTGTGGGTTGTTATTTTTCTAAACATAAACCCACTTCATCCTAAGCTTTCAAATTTATTGCCTTAAAGTTGCCTGTAATATTCTGTCACCTTAGTGTTTGCTGCCTATGTGGTTGTGTTCCCCCCTTTATTGACTCCCAGTATTGCTTATTTATACCATTTTCTCTTGGAGGATCAGGTTTCTGAAATCATTTTTATTCACATTTTCCGAGAACCCCAAATTTATTGTTGTGGAGCTTCCCTTGTCTTTTTTTATTTTCTGTTTCATTTCTTTTTCTTCTTTGCCTTCCTCTTTGGAAATAATTCTCTTGCCTTTTCAGAGATTTCTTTCTTCTTGCCTACCTCATTTCCATTTTTCATCTTTTCTAATGTGAGCATTTAAGTGACACATTTCTCAGGGCGCCTCAGTGGCTCTGTGGGTTAAATGTCCGACTCTTGATCTCAGCTCAGGTCTTGATCTCAGGGTCGTTGAGTTCAAGCCCTATGTTGAATCTACTTTAAAAAAAAAAATCTACTTTAAAAAAAAAAAAGCAACACATTTCCCACTTACAATTTTATCTGCAACCCACATATTTTGGTATGGAATACTACTATTGTTTGTTTTGAGATACTTTTCATTTCCTTTACTATTGAATCTCTCCTGTGATTTATTTGGAAGCCTGTTTAAAAATTTCCAATTGTGGGTGCCTGGGGTAGCTCAGTCAGTTTAAGTGTCTGCCTTGGGCTTGGGTCATGATCCCAGGGTCCTAGGGTCAAGCCCCATGTCGGCTTCCCTGATCAGCTTCTCCTTCTACCCCTCGCACCCCGCCCAGGTCTCTCTCTCTCACTCTCTCTTAAATAAATATATATAATCTTTTTTTTTTTTTTAAGATTTTATTTATTTACTTGACAGAGAGAGAGATCACCAGCAGGTAGAAAGTCAGGCAGAGAGAGGGGGAAAGCAGGCTCCTTGCTGATCAGAGAGCAGGATACGGGGCTCGATCCTAGGACCCTGAGATCATGACCTGAGCCGAAAGCAGAGGCTTAACCCACTGAGCCACCCAGGTGCCCCTATATATAATATTTAAAACAAATAAAAATTTTCAATTATATGAACATGTAAACCTATCTTTTCAGTATGGATTTCTGTAATTTCGTTGCATCATCATTCTAGGAAGTCTGAGTTTGAGACTTGGGTGTTTGTTGAGACTTGTTTTATGGCCCAGGACATGGTCCGCTTTTATAGGCGTTCTGGAAGTAGTTGAAAAGAACATGTATTACCCATCTCTATGTATTTTCATTAGTTCCAACTTGCCGATGTCACGCAAATCTTCCCATCATGAAGTTCTGTTGTTGTTGTTTTCTGCCACGTGTTGTATCATTTTTTGAGAGAGATCTGTTACTTCTCTGTGCTATACTTTTCCTGTTTGCCAAAAGGGAACACAGAACAGGATTGACGGGAGGATTAACAGGGTCAGTACGTACGGGGGACTCAAAGCCGTTTATTGCCATGGTCAGTGATCCCCGAGTTAACCATCCTGATGATGGCAGTGGAAGAGCTGTCATTTTCTCTCATTTTTTTCTTCCATTGTAAAGTTACTTTATGAAAAAATTAACTTTAGGGCTGCCCACTGGCTCAGTGGGTAGAGCAGGTGACTCGGGGACGTGAGTTTGAGCCCACGTTGGGTATGGAGATTACTTTAAAAATTAAATTAAAAAAAAAGCTTTTAATACATAAATAAATAAGTAAATTTTAGAATTGTAGTATCTTTAGTGGTTTTGACTTTTCAACCATGTGTAGTGAACTTCTTTCTGCCCTTATGTTTTATGCCTTGAAGTCTGTTTCACCTTATACTTACCAGCTCTCTGGTATAGTGTTTGCCAGGCAGATCTTTCCCAAACGTTCTCTCTATTACTCTGTTACTCTACCTGCTTCTTTGTCCTTGTATTTGGATGGGTCACTCAGGAATGGCACATGACTCAATTTCTTTTTCATCCAGTCCAATGGTCTTTTTCTTTTCCCTGGAGAAAGTTTGGGTTCATGTATACCATCTTGTCTTGTTTTCTCTTTGCATCTCTCTCTCTCTGCATTCCCTTACCTCTTGCTCTGACACTTTTCGTTTCTTGCCTTCTTCAGTTTTGACGTTTTGGTCTTGTTTCAC